AAAAAAAAATTGAATGATTTGAATCGAATTGAGATGATGATGATGATGATGGACCATACCATCTTTAAGGTCATGAACAATTAATTTTCAACGCGTATTTTAAAATTGCTTCAAACTAACTGAAATAAATGAAGAGAAAAACTGAGAGAATAAGAAAAAAAAACAAAATTAAATATCCTTGATATGCTCTGTGTTAATTGTCCACAACAAAACAAAACAAAAAAATTATTTGTCAATTGTTTTACAACAAAAGAAAGAAAATTAATTCGACATTGTATGATGATGATGATGATGATTGGATTTAAATCCTTTACAATTGTTGATTAGATTTCAAACAAACTTGAATGATGAATGTTCACCTGAAATACACCAATGATAACTGTGTTACCTAATCCCAGGAGACAAAAGTGTGAAAAATAGTTTTGATTTTGAATTTGAAAAAAATTCCATATAATTTTTTTTGTTGACAAATTTTTTTCTCCAATCACTTGCGCATGTCTATTTTCAAAAAAAAAAAAATTAAGAAAGTACCGTATTCATTTACTATTTGATTGGAAAAAAAAACAATAAAACACACACGTGTGCACCAAACCAAACAATAAAAAACAAATTCATCATCATCATCAACAACATCATCATTTCAAGCACATCTTTCCTCATCCTCATCGTCAAATAATAGAATTCAAATTTTTGACATGAAAAAAAGAACCATCAGGTAAATTACGTATTTATATACTACAGAAATAAAACTTGATGACTTGATGAATGCACTATAATTAACCACATGAATGGATGATGAATACAAAAGATTGATGTGACAATCAAATTTTTTTTTTTTTGACCATTTCAATTTCGTTTGTTTGTTTGTTCATTCTTTTTATTTACGCCATGTCACACAATCGCCAATTTAAAGGGACTATCAATCTTTTTTTTTTTTTTGTTAACGGTAAAATTATTATTATAACTAATTAATAATGATGATGATGATGATGATAATTATCAGTGTTGAAAATCTTCAAACATAGTCGTAGTAGTAGTAGTAGTAGTAGTAACAGTGGTAGTAAAAGTAGTAGATAAAAAATATAAACAGGAACACCAACGCCATCATTTATAATCATCATCATCATCATCAAACTAATGGCTTTATTATCCTTGATGGGTGTGTGTGTGTGTGTGCGTTTCAAATGAAATGAAAATTTTTTTTTAAGATTTGAAGGTTCATGGTTGTTATCAGAAATTTTTTTTTTTAATTCTAATTTTCTCATCACACCACCACCAACAACAACAATTTTTATTTTAATCATCAACAATAGAAAAAAAAGAGTTATGTTTTTTTTTCTGGAAATTCCCCAATAGATTTATAGATTTATCAATGTGAATGAATGTGATGATGATCAATCAAAATAGAAAACATACACACACACATGAGATTTCAACAGGTAATCAATCAATTCAATCGTTTCCGTTTGTTGTGTAGCTAAAAAAATGATTTCTTTTTTTGAACATTTTGAACAACAGCAAAATTGTGGAAAGTTTTTTTTTTGTTGAATGCTAATCATAAAAAATCTTGTTTTTTTGCTCAGGTGTGTGTGTGTGTGTGTGCAGAATATTGATTACATTGCTCTATACTTTCACACACACACACACACACACACACACACACAAATATATACCCTACATATAATTTACCAATTACCATTTAAAGGGGTTGCAAAACTTTTTCTAATTTTTATGTTTTTCCTAAATCAATCGTATTAATTCGTCCTCTTCAAAATGTTGTTTTTTTTTGCTCTGGGTTTTTTTTCTCACTTTTTTTATTTTGATTTTTCAATGTATCAATGAGATAATATTATTCTAATGAATGGTAGCTAAATAAATTTCCATGTTTCCGTCGCCCATTGATGACAGGTAGCCAGGGAAAACACACACATTTTTTTTCTGATAATGGCTTAATTTCATTTGATTTCATTTCATTTCATTCAGAAGAGAGAAAAATAAAAAAATTTTTTTTCCCAATCAATTCAATGAAAAACTGCATTCTTATTCATGGCCAATGCGGAGGTTCGAAATTTTTTTTGTTTTGTTTTGTTTTATCCTTTATGCATAGATTATATACGACACTTATCCAAATGATAATCGTCAACATCATCGAATACGTTGGTTGATTGGAAAAATTTTCAATGAATAAATGAATGGATGAATAAAAGAATGGAATCCCTAATAAGTCCTTAACATTGAAATGGAAATTTTCTCTATTACTTTTTCTTTTTTTTTCTGTGTGTGTGTGTGTGTGTGTGTGGATTGTCATTATATAGAAATTGTCGACATTTTTTTCAACATTTCATTTCACAATTTGATTCATTCATTGAATAATGATTTTCTAATGGCAATATCGATCGTTGAAAAGATTAATTATTGAAAAAAAATATCCATCGATATTCGATTGTCATAATCATCGATGATCATGATTAACTAACGTTAATCTTTCATCAAGAACTTAATAGAGATATATCTCGCCATCATCATCATCATCATCATCAATATTTAAGACTAAAAATGATGATTACTAACGTCATCATGAGCATAAACATTATCGACGATCAATATATTAATAATAATAATAATAATATATACAGGTATTAAACGTTACTATTCAATAATTATCATCGATTATATTGATGATGATGATGATGATGATAATCGATAAAAATAACAGAAAAAAAAATTCATCAATCATGGAAAAAAAATCAATATCTAACATGGATGAACCTGGAAAACTTTTATTTTCTGCCCAGTTTTTTTTAAACACTTTATTCGTGCGTGCCCGCGTGTGTGTGTGTGTGTGTGTTATGGAGGAAGAAGAAAATTTTTATCTCAATCATCGCAAAGAAAAAATAAAAATTTCTAACACGATGAGGATAAAATTGGTTGATTTTTTTTGTTTCGTTTACTTGACGGAACTTTTTCCATAAAAAACTTTCATTTGTCGGCATATTTGCCACCAATATTTTAAATTCTTTCGACAAAAAACGCGAGAAAATCATTCTCACCTTGACCATAAATAAAATGTGATTCACTGCCGTATATATGCGATATGTAATGAATTTTAGTGAACAATCAGACAAACGCATTGTAGAGAAATGTTTCAAACAAACAAACAAAAAAAAAAAGACATTGACTTTGATCATGAAAACAACGACGACAACAACAACAAAAAAAACTGTTTCATATATCAATGATTTCTGAAAAGTAAAAAAAAAATTTCTTGAATAAATTGGTCCTGTAAATTTATTATAATCACAAAAAAAAACAATTCGATTCATTACAATTTAACAAACAAAACAAAAAAAATCGTGATCCTTTTCTTTCGTAATTATTTGACTGACCGACAGAAAACAAACAATACAATATAACACAATAATTATAATTCATCCTTTTTTTATACAACCATGGACTCCAATGATGATCATCTTAACGAATGAAGATCATTAGCGAGAAAAAAAATGAAAAACAAAACTCCAAACTCGTTATCGACTAAAATACCAACCACTATATATATATTTATATCTATAGCGGTAATGATATTTGTAGTCTTTTGTTTTTATTTTCACGATTTTTATCATTATAGAAGAGATTCATGTAGAAAAAAAAAAAAAAAAAGAAATCAACATTAAAACAAATAGCTTAGCTAAAAATAAATATTCGAGGTTAAAATTTGATGATCATGATCATCATGATTCCTTTTTTTTTATTTTGACCATCAACATAAATTTGCATGAAACTTTTATGTGTTATATACGAAAAAAAAAAAATAAAAAGTACTGATCATCATTCATTAATTTTGAATTTATAATTCTACATTTGAATATAGTTTTGAAGAATAATTTTGATTTTTATCCACGAAAGTGTTGCCATCTTTTGATCGAGCACAAAACTATATTTCAACAAATTCACCTTTTTGTTGGATTTTTTGAAATGAAGTGTATGGTAGGAGATTGTCTCATTTTTTTTCTATGTATATAAATAGATTACGATTGATTAATTGAAACAGAGAAAAAAAACACTGAATACATGCACTATTGTTGCCATTGACACACACACACACACACACACACACATTGCACATTGATCAGATTGGAATTTGAAGATCCAGATCACATCAAGATTTCAATGAATGAATGTCAAACAAACAATAAAGGACAGAAAAAAAAAAAATCATTTTCAATCGTGAAATGATGATGATGAATACTTTGATGTCGTTACTAAGTGACGATAATTTTTTTTTTTTTTGGTTCCAAATGCACACACACACACACACACAGTTGAACATCATTCATCGATTGGTAGGCATGTATACATACCATGTATTAATACAACCATTTTTACAAGAAGAATTTTTTTGATTAACTCAATTTATTCACCAAGACAAGAAAAAAAATCATTCCCCGGTTATCACCATCCATCATCATCATCATCATCATCATTTTTGATCGCGTCCTATTTGACTTTATTATTAAACACTGTCCCCTTTCTCTTTCTCTCTTCATTGATGGGAATCACGATGGTTCGTTTTTTTTTTTTTTTTTTGGTTAACAATATCACACATCTGATAATGAAGACAACAACAAGAAGAAACGAGAAGAAGAAGAAGAAAAAAAATTAATAATAATGATAATGATCCAAATTCAGGGCATTTGTTATTTTATTCTAACGATTTTTCAAAACGTCAATAATTGAATATATAAGAAACAAAAAGAAAAAAAAATTGAACAATTACGATTACGTTGTATGTGTGTGTATTACTGGCTGTATGATTGTTATTAGATGTCATATAAATTGATATAATAATAATAACGAGCATTTGAAATTGTTGTTATTTATATTATGGATTTTTTTTTGTTTCTAGTTCCAATGCAGTAATGATGATATATTCATTGACTAAATGAAGAAAATTGAAGAACAAATGAGAACAAAAAAAAAAACGAAAAACTTAACAAGATCAGTGTTGATAGATAGATAGATGGATGCAACAAACACACGCACAAAAATTGATCATTTTAAAAAAAACAACCTTGAAAATTAATTGGTGGCTTGGGGCTGGTTTGTTGAACAATTAGATGCTACGACAGAATACATAATCTGAATATATCATTATATTTACAGGTAATCAATCAATCAATCAATTTTCAGAATCTATTCTATCATTGACTGTGAATGTGTTTGTATGTAGAATTTAATTTATATAAATTTTATATTTAGCTATTAATTAATCATTTTTTTTGTTTGTGTGTGTGTGTTAAACAGAATCGCCCAAATTATTATCTAATTTTTGTTGTTGATGACCATTGAAATCATCTTCATCATCACCATCACCATCATCATCATCATCATCATCATCATCATCGGGGAAATTTGTCATTTCAGCTACAACTGTTGTTGTTGTTGTTGTTGTTGTTGTTTCATTTGTTGATTTTGTCATACCGAATAATGTGACAATTCTGCGCCAAACACTTTTACGTTTATGTATGATATGATAAATAGCATATAATGGTATACATGACAATGATGATGATGTTATTATCCATCCAACATTAACCGACCATTCTGGATAGATGTATTCACCTAATTTTAATGGCTCTTTATTGATTAAACTGGCAAATGCAATGAACTTTTTTTTTGTTGTTGTTGTTCAAGTACAAAAAAATATAACAAAATCAAATGGCATTTTTGATTATATAAATCATTGATTTAGAAATTAAGAAAAAGAAAAACTTACACCAAGAAATATTGGACAAACACACATCCAACATACACGCCAAAATATGTTCGGTTTATGTCCAATCATTTCGTTAATCTGTTGGGAAATTTTCTCTGTTCCTAATCATCATAATAATAATAAAAAAACGATATGATGGATCATAACTTATACAAAAAATAAACCTTACTGACACACATTACTTACCATAGAACCAACAAATGGCCATTGTCTCAATGAACACAACAAACAATACGGAAAGTGCTGTACCATGTGTATCAAGCAATGTAATCAAATAGTTTCCACCCTATGTATGTTGTGATGAATTTTGGGAATATGAAAAAGAATGAAAAAAAAATTCATAGATGAATATTCGAGGATTATTTTTTTTTTTTTTTTTTTATTTTTAATTACAAATGTTGTTGTCGGTAATGCGCAAAAATAAATAAAAACAATGAGTATGGCAACAAATATTTCTCGATGTCGTCGTAATAGATTTGGATAATTGTCACATAATCCAGTGATCATTGCTTCAAGTCCACCAAACTGATTTTGTGTTGTTGTTTTTTTTTTTTAGGTAAATGAAGAAGAAGAAAAAAAAATATTGTAATCATCATTAAAAAATGAATGAATGAGTGAAACTCGCTCTCTTTCGCTCTTTTGCTTGTTTTTTTGCTTACCGTTGAATCAAGTCCCAATGTAATTAACATTAGAAAATAAATTATGGAGAAAAAAACCGAACCATACATTGTGGCTATGGCTTCTGGATAGACAATAAACACTAAACCAGGACCATCGGTAGCTACATTTTCTATATCTTTATTCAATTTTTTAGCCATATATCCAAGTATTGAAAACGTAACGAAACCGGCAACAAAACTAGTCAAACAATTAATACTGCTAGTGATGATTGCATCACTGGTGGCGGTGACAGGGAAGGGGGTCGAGTGGAAGTGACCAAAAAAAAAAAATAAAAATAAAATGTCAAGAAATCAATAAATTTTTGCTTTCACACACACACACACAAAATGATCAATTTGATTTATTACCGATAACAGTTGTTATGAAATTTATTATACGAAGCTAATGCCATCAAAGTACCGAATCCAGGACCTAATGAGAAAAATATTTGCGTTGCTGCATCAATCCATACCTAGGTGTTTTTTTTGTTGTGTGCGTGTATGTGGGTGTAATGTTGATGTAATATCAAACAAATGATTTATTTATATTACGATAAAACAACAACAACAACAAAACATTTGTTTTATATTACATTGATCGAATAAAGATGTTCCCATTTTGGTGATAAATAAAAACGTATACCATCGGCTGCACCATCCAATGTTGTTCCACGAATTAGTAATACAAAAATGACAAAATATGGAAATAATGCCGTTACCCAAACCGCCTGTATGATTATGTGTTTGTGGGGGTGTGTATTTGCGTGTGTATGTGTGAAATAAAAAACAAAATAAAAATGTTCAATTGATCATTCATTCATGGTGTTCATCATTATTATTAACCTTTCCAGTACTTTTAACACCTTTCCATAGAGAAAAATAGACAACCAGAAAAACAATCATAAGGCAAATTGCAAGTGATGGCCTAATCGTTCCAAGTGAATCGATGCCTGATGATGCATCAATATGAAGAACATGGTTACTGGTTGGATGGAAAAAAAAGAACGAAAAAAAATTGGATAGAATCAAGATTTTTCAAAGATGAGATTTTTTTTTAAAAATCTTCCAAAACCAGACACAGAAGATTCATGATGATGATGATGATGATGATAAAATAGGAATAAGGTATGTGGTTTGATTATGTATTCTAATTTTAGATTTTTTTTTTTTTTTTTTTTGAAAAAAACTGATGAAATGCTAAACTAAAAAACATTGGGCTACTCATCTTTGCATCATTCTATGATAGACCAGAAAAAATAATGTGAAGCCAAAAAAAAAATTATCAAGGACTTTTTTTCGGGACATTTTCAAATTCGTACAAGGGAGTGAGACAGAGAGAGAGAGAGAGAGAGGAAAAAAGAATGAACAAAAAAAACTTCAAATCGATCAATCTGACTGGGCAATGAATCGATGAATCTTTTTTTTCAAATATGAAAAAAAAATTCTTTTCACTCACTTTGATAACGAAAAAAAGGAAAAAAAACAATTTGGCCAGAATAAATAGAATCTATTTAGCATAGATAAGACACTAGATTTTTTTTTTTTGCTTTCTTTCACTCGCTTTTCTTTGGGAAACCGCAATCAAAAATCAGAAAAAAATGACTCAACAATAATAATGTGTGTGTGTGTGTGTGTGTGTGTTGCAAAGATTTTTTTTTTTCTCGCTCTCTTCAAACATATGCCTTATCAATACATTGAAAACAATGGAACACACACACACAATGAATAGAATATTCTTTCAAATACGGATTCATAGAATATATAACAACAGGATTCATGGTCATGATGATGAAAAAAAATGTTGAAACATAATAGTAGTGATGATAGAGAATCGAAAAGAATCTCAATCATCAATTAATAGACGATGATAAAAAAAAAAAAAAAATTTTTTTCTTTTTACTTACAAAAAATATTCATGTGCCGGACTAACCAATGTTAAATTGGTTTTCGGATCAGTCATATTATTGTTGCCCGATGACGACGACGACGATTCAACCAGTCGACGATGTTGCATTGTACGACACATTGGTGTATTCCATTCATTGTTACAATTTTGCCACGGTAATTCCATATTAATCAATGATCCAATAGAAATGAAGAAATAATAAAGTGCCCAAGCTATGATGGTATTATAGTACATGGCCATATAGATGTCAATTATACAGATGGCATATCCAAGACCTGGGAAAAAAATAATTTTCGTATTTTACAAATTTTATGTAAATAAATGGATTTCTATCTTGAGGCAATTCTCATTCTGTAATGGCGCTACAATTCTTATTGACTTAATTTTATTGTGAAAAAAAACAAAAACAAAAAAATTTACCTTTCATGATGGGACAAAGATGTTTCCAAACGGTTAGACATCCACTACTATAATATTGACCAAGTGCCAATTCCAGATAGAATAATGGTAGACCACCAAATATTAACATTATACAGTATGGTATGAGAAAAGCGCCTAGGTTTTCAAAAAAAAAAAAAAAAAACAATCAAGAATGTCAAAAGATAATTTTTTTTTAAACAAACAAAATAATAATTACCACCACCATTACGATAGCAAATGTATGGAAATCGCCATACATTGCCCAAATCGACAGCAAAACCAATGACAGCCAATAAAAATTCAATTTTTTTATCCCAATGTTCACGTTCATTTTTATTTTCAATCCATATCTGATGAAGATGTGGATTATTACTACTACTACTACTAGTGGATGTATGATGTTTCTTTTTCATATTATGATGACCATGTTTATTATTATTATTATTATTATTTTGATGATGATAATATAAATGTAGATGATTTTTCGATTTCAATAATGATGCCGATGAATTTGATATGATCATTTTGGAACCACTATGGTTATTTGATGATTGTTGTTGTTGTTGTTTATTATGATTTGTAATAATCATTTCATCGTCCATTTTTTCTTTAGGACAAACATACAACAATTCTGTTGTACAGGAAATACTTTTACATACATTTGATTTTGGTTGAAGATTTGAAGATAACAATTGGCCAGAATCTTGATTATCATCACCATCATCATCATCATCATCATTGATTATTCGTTGTTTTTCATTTGAATATTTGTTGGTTTCTTTAGTAATCTTAATATTAGCATCAGGGAAATGCTGATGTTTGGTGGCCGAATATTGATCATTATTCATCATTATTGATTATTCATAAATATCGTAATATTACACAAACACATTAACAACTGGTCATCAATTAATTTTGAAGATATATATGAAAAAAAAAAAAACAAATAAAACACTGAAATGACAAACTATTACACCACAAACTTCCAATTATACATAGATTTCAGTGAACAAAATAAAACACAAATCATCATCCGAAGATGAGGATGCGGCAACTGAGCGACCATCGACTTTCGACGACACTATATTCATCATTGTTCTGTTCTTTTTTTTCTATTTGCTTTATTATTGTGGTCCATCATCTATATCTTACAGTCGATAGTTAATACAATGATAATCAATCTGTTCTAGAAATCATTCTTTTCGATGATGATTCTGTCCTATTCATTTATAGTTTAAAATGATGATGATAATGGGCGTGGTACACGTTAACTTTTTTTTTACTATTTCAATTGACTTTTCTTCTTTGAAGAATGGTTTCAACTATGTAGTGATGATAGTGATGAAATGCCTCAGATAAATGTTTCTACAAAAGAAAGAACGAAAGAAAATTTTCATCAGCAATCAATTTTGAAAGTGCAATATTCAATGATGATGAAAAAAAAAATTTTTTTTTTGAACAAAAATCTATGAATATGAATCACGAGTTTCGTAAACTCGAAAACGTAACCATACGCAGAATCGTTGAATTGAACAAAAAAAAAACAACAACAAATCGCTACAGTTAGCGGGTGATGATGATGATGATGATGACAACCAGCCACCAACCATTACCGATGAAAAAAAAATGAATGTTGACTGGTTAACTTGTGCGTATGTCCTACTAAAAAACAAAACTACCACCAAAATGGTTAAATAATAATAATGTACTGTAGTTTTATTTCCTTCTCAAACAAATGAAAAAAGATTGATTTTATCGCAAAATAATTAATGTTTACTGCATAATTTTTTTTTTTATTTAACATTAAGAGAGCCACAATTTTATATAAAATAATAATTAAGGCTTAAATTTTAATTAAATAACAGATAAATTAAAAAAAAATTCGTTTCTGAAGCATTCGATGTTTCTCTCTGTGTGTGTGTATATATATCTTATTCTTATTGGTTCGGATTTTATTTACAGAAACATTATCCTCGTGATCATCATCATCATCATCATCATCATCATCATGGTCGTAGAATTTATGGCCATCAATTTTCGTTGTTTATTGCTAAATAAAGTGAGAGAGAGAGAGGCTAGTGAATTTATGTACAGATTCTTCAAAGTAAATCGTTTTTCTTTTTTGATATGATCTCTGATCATAATCATCATCATAATCAACACCGATTGATCGACCGACCATGATGATGATGATGATGATGATACAGCAACAAATAATAATATTTGGCGGTGGTCCTCTGTAAATTGGCGCCTGTTTTTTTCCGAAAATATTGGTTCGTAACGTGATGTATGCGTTTTTTTTCTCCTTGATGAATATGATGAACGATAAAATGATGATGATGATGATAGAGATATGAATGGCTTGGAATTATAATATTTACAGATTCGCCAATCATCTCAATGATTAAACAGTATAATTTGATTCAACATAGGCTTTAGATTCAACTCTGGTAAATGGTGAAAACCAGGCCATACTAAAACCTTTTAGACCAAATACGGCTCGCATATTACGCCATCGTTGTCGACGGCTCCAACGTTTATTTGTTTCTTTTTTCAACTGTTCAATACTGGTCTCATCATTCCAAATGGCTTGCATTTGTACAGCAAACATGATTAATGTGAATATAGCGAATAGCAAGCCTTCGAATACAACACATATCAATAGTATAATGTTGATCGGTGCCGGTGATGATGACATGACGAATCCAGTTTTTGGATCTTTGTATGTTGTACCACATAATGTTGAATTTGAATCAACTAATGTTTTGTGGATTGATTAAAAAAAAATTTAAATTAGCAAATTTCTTTTCTTTGAAAAATACTTGAATCTTTTTTTTCTGTATTCACACATACGTTTCCATTCATTGTCCAAACATTTCATAAAATGATTGAATACCATTACCAATGCATGTATTGAAATGATGGCAATATAAAACTATATTTCAGTTTAAAATAATGATAAATTCATTAACAAACAAACAAACAAACAAAAAAATTCAAATCATTCATATGCTTACAGTGAAAAGGACGAAAAATTTTTGATTATTTTCACCCACACAATTATTAACCCATGGACAATGATGATCCATTTTCGATATACATCGTTGACAAACTGAACAATGATGTGCACGTTCCGGTTTGATACATGAACATTTCGTACATTTATAAAGAACTTGGCCATCGATAAGACCTATTCAGATGATGATGAAGAAATAGGAAATATAATTATTGATGATTTCATTATTGTTTCAACAATGTTTATGTGATATGATAAACAAAATTAAATTATACCTAGTTGTTCAATCGCTTCTTTCGTTGCGGTTCCTTTAGGCACCGATCCCTTTTATTCACAAAAGTCGGACATGCATTGTGTGTGTGTGTGTGTCGAATAAATAAATGAAATGAAATATATTATTGTTTTGTTTTGTTTATAAATGCCATAATAAACTTACCGGGTCAGTGAACATTGTTCGTAGGTGAGCAGCGAATGCAAGGAAAACAAAAAATTCAAATACAACTATATTGATCATTTTGAGAATCGTATTCTCTTCTGGTGACCAAATAACCGTAATCAATACATATTGAGCGAAAATTATTAATATGTAACTGGTGTGAAAAAAAAATTTTCATTTTCATTTTTTTTGGGCATAAACTTTGAAAATTGATTATTTACTTACGAAAATAAAGCACAAATAATTCCGCATACATCTTTGACAAACCATGTTTCGTTATGTTGTATTTTATGTCGCATATTTTGGTCATCTTTCATTCTTTGTTTTATTTATTATCATAAAAAGGAATGTTGTCGTTGTTGTTGTTGGTTAAAATTTCGTCAAATTATATCATATATATTGATTGATTGAAAAAAATTCTGACGACAATTATTGCTGTTGTGTTGTGGATGATGAAAATAATCGTTAAAACGATTTTGTTGATAAAACAGGTTAGGTTTGGTTAGATTTACATCATTTAATGATATATACAGATTATTATATATTTTGCAACAGCCAAATTTTTGTTTTGTTTGTCTATTTTGTTGTGTGTATACAATACAATCTGTTTGTTTCTATTGCATGTATTAGATTCGATAGTAGTGGACAACTAAATATCGATACTATCGAATATGAAATTTTTTTTTTGTTTTTGTTTTGAAATTCCATTTTGTTTTTTTTCATTATTATCATTGACTAGATACAATCTAATTGCATCATAAAACATCGGCATTAACATCATCGGAAATTGTTACAGTTTCGTTTAATATTTGACGTTATCTTCAAAACACACAGAGGACAACATAGCAAAAAATCCGATAATATAGTTAACCGATCTATGTGGAAATAAGAAGGTAAGACGATGCGGAAATTTATTTAATTCAATTTTCCTTGTTTTTTTTTTTTTGAAGAAAAGTAAATTTTTTCTGTGTTGATACACACACAAATCAAATATGAAAAATGATACGTGTGTGCATGATGGTGTGACCATTAGAAATTTTGCAAAAATCTGACACATTTGTCAGTTGTTTGATGCTGACAATGATAAAATCTGACTTTCATATAGCCTACGGTTAGTAAGAGAAAAAAAAATTCCTACGCTATTAGCCTGCGTGATCAGCTTCGGTTCTGTCAACCCTACAGGACCATGCGCTGTGACCAGCCTGGGTTGCCATGCTTGTTGCTAGGTCCCGTCAAAAGGTCAGCATGGTCACATGGTGACATTTTCTTGGCTCATGAACAATTTGAGCAATGATAATTTAGAGGTTTACACTGCCTCTTATTTTATACATAACATATGTATTTATTATATTATTATAAAAAATACCAGCGCCATATATAATAGCTGGTCGAATTATTGATTTGTGGTGACGTGGTGATATATTTATAAATCAGAATTCGTTTCTTAATTTAATTAATTTCAAAATTGAAATATTTCTATTTTTCATCATTAATTCCAACTATCAACATTGATTTGATGTTTTTTTGTTAGATTTGTTTTTTTTTTTGTTTACTTGTCAACAAACACAATCATGAAACGATCAAACTCGGAAAATCAATTGCCAACTTTTTCTCAAAGTTATCAGCGACAAAGATTTTTAAATAAACTTCAAAAAAGAAATGAAAAAATGATAGATTTTGTAAATAAAGTTTTAAATTTCAACGATCCTCAAGTCACTGAATCACGAGTCTCTGAATCACATTCTTTTATTGAAAATTCAGCTGAAATTAACAATGTTGATAAACCAGGAATTATATTCGATAATAAAAATGCCCTACAAAATTATGCATCTGATAGCAAAAGCGAAGAAAATAATGGTGATATCATGCAAGAACAGGCAAAAAATGAAGAAATTGAAATTGATAGTCCAGATGAAGATGAACAGTGCCAGTGCCAACATTCTTGTTGCGCCAACTTAAAAAAACAAATTAAAAAATTAACAGATAAATTGGAAAGAATTGAGTCCTCGTTTGAAAATGAAATGAAAAAAATCCGTCGATAATAGATTATGCCGTAAAAAAACGGTTTGACAATTGGAGCCAATTATCAATCCAAAAAAAAGTAAGTCTTATATATACATTATGTGAGCGTACTTATATTTGATTTTGATTTTTTTTTACAAAACAGAATTGCCAAAACAACATCCACATTAACCCAAAATCTATCCATCCAATTCTTATGAATTAAAAGCGTTTCATTCTACGTTTAATTAGCTTTAAAATGATAAAACAGTATTTATGTTATTAAATAAATATAATTTTTGTGGAAATCAAAATATTTATAATATTATAATACTACTACAATTGAATGACCTGAACAAACAAACAGATTGATTGAAATTTACCATCATTGACCAACATTTTTTTTAGATGAAGAAATTCGAATATTAAAAAAAAAAAAATAAATATTAAAAAAATCCGTGGAAAACAAATCAATTTTCACTATCACTGTCATGAATTTTTTTTTCTTCAAACTCTCAAAAACAAGTTTTTTTTGCTACAAGTGGATCATCAACATCATCCACAGTTCACACACACACACAGGAAGTCCAAGTCGTTCGTCGATAAAAATTGTTTTCGATTGTTTCATCATCATCATCATCATTAAATAATGATGAAAAATAAATTTTTTTTTTTCGTTTCAAAGAAAAATTTATCGCAACCGAATCGATTACACTTGTTTTTGTTGTTTCATTTCATTTCATCGTCATTATCTCGTGAATGCATGGATAGATTGATTGATTGAAAAAAAACGATGCACAAATCAAAGGTCGGACTGATCTGAACTTGAATCCGATATTTATTTTTTTTTTTTGTTAATTTTGATTTTTTTTTTTTCGTTGTAATCTTAGTGGATTGATCAGTAGTTGATTTCTACCTGGTTTTTCTGTCTCTCTCTCTCACACACACACACACACACAAATGATTTTGATCTCCATATAATGCTAATGGTGTAGGTGAAAGTGTGTGTGTGTGTGTGTGAAAAAAAGACAGGATATGAAGAAAAAAAAATTGAAATTTTTTTCCAATCGATGAACTAACAGACTTTTTTCCGCCTGTAGTTCTCATCGAAAAAAAAACAATCATTATTGTCGAAAGAGAAAGTAAAATGGAAAACTTGTCCATGTTGTTGTTGTTGTTGTTGTTGTTGTTGAATCAATCAATCGATGAGAGAAATATGGATGTGTTGTTGTGTCTCTCTAGTATTGTCAACTTTAATTTCATATAATTCTCACATTGATTTAAAGGAAACTTTGTATTGTAGTTGAAGAAAAAAAAAATTTAGTGATGATGAAAAATATAGGCCACGTTGTCATCACGATGTTGATGATAGACACACAAACGCGTGTACGGTAAACATGAAAAGTTCATAAATTTTTTTTTTTTTTTCACCTTATACAGGTGAGAGACACTATTTTTTTTCTGGTCCATCGTACATCATATTTATACATTCTCAATTCTTTACACACGCATACACACACACACACACCATTATGAGTTATTGCTCTTTATTTATCATTTTGAAACATTGAATTGAATATCTGAACGGGGGATGAAATTATTATTTTTTTTCCAACATGCTCACATTTTTCTCACTAATAATACTGATCTCAATAAATCGGTATATATATGAAATAAATTCATAAATTAGAAATTCAAACATTCATTTTTTTTCCACGGTCGAGATCATCATTTCAACATCCAACAAGATCATGTATTGATCATCATCATCATCATCATGTTTTGATTTAAAAAAAAAATTCACTTCGTCCATATAAAGCTTGATCGTTTTTAAGTTTTTCGTGATCTTTTGGATTTCCTGTTTGTGTGTGTGTGTGTGTGTTCATTTTTTTTTTACTGTTTGCCCGTGCATTTTTTCCATTTTTTTTTTTGTTCTTGGATTAATTAATCGAATATGTTTTCGATTGATAAATCATTAATTTTGTTCGGCGTGTTGACCGTCGGTCAATTTGTACGTGCTCAATATGGTGGAGGTGGCGGTGGTTATGGTGGTGATTCTGGTGGTGGTGGTGGTGGTGGTGGTGGTGGTTATAGTAGCGGAGGAAATTATGGTGGAGGTATGGGATATGGTTCATACAAACCAGAGCCGCCAAAACAAATGCGACTCAATTTGGGCATTGCAGGTTTGTTGAATGAAAATTTTTCCATTGTATCTGAATTGCTAAAATGAAAAATTTATTAAATTTTATTGAATAAAAAAAAACAAAACGGAAAACAGTTCCTCCAATCATTCTCAAGGTAAATCAAGAAGAATCATAAATCAACACTTTTTAAATTTTAATTCATCAGATGCCACGTATGGAATTTCCACAAATGTCCATCCGAGCCAATTTTATGAAACAACCGTATGCAAAGTAAGTGATTTATTCTTTCTTGAAACGTGAATGATTCATAATTCTTCATTTGTACAGACCATTAGAAGTTAATATGCCTCCGCGTGAGTATTTTTCAACATGATATGGTAGTATATATCATCTAATTTATGATGAAATTTCAATCAAAAAATTCAGCACCACAAATTCAATTTGGTGATGATAAAACTTACGGTACCGGTGGATATAGTAAAAGCTCAGGATCAAGTTACAGCGGCGGAAGTGCTCCAATGACATATTCTGAACCAGCAGGAGGATACAGCGGCGGAAGTGCTCCAATGACATATTCTGAACCATCAGGAGGATACAGCGGTGGTGATGCACCAGCTCAAATGGGTGGATATAGTGGTGGATCTCCTCCCGCCCCGCCACCAGCTCCAATGGGTGGTTATAACGGTGGACCACCACCAGCTCCTGCTCCAATGGGTGGATATAATGGTGGACCACCACCAGCTCCAATGGGTGGATATAACGGTGGACCACCACCAGCTTCTGCTCCAATGGGTGGATATAATGGTGGACCACCACCAGCTCCAATGGGTGGATATAACGGTGGACCACCACCAGCTCCAATGGGCGGATATAGCGGTGGACCACCACCAGCTCCAATGGGAGGATATAGCGGTGGATCTCCTCCAGCCCAAGCCCCTGCACCAGCTCCCATGTACGGCGGAAATCCAATGAGCTATGGTGGCCTGTCGCCTTATGGTCCAATGTATGGAACAATGTCAAATGTTGGAATTGAGAAAACGATTACTGTAGGCACTGATCCCAGTCTAGGAAACCAATATGGAGCTCAATATGGAGCTAGTCACACTTCCCGCTATACTCTTCCAGTGCTCGAAGCGAAAGGTTCGGGAGCGAATGCGATGCCAAGCATGACCATGGCTACAGCATCATCAAACACACCACCAATGATGCCAATGTTGCCACCAATGCCTATGCCCGTACCGATGGTTCCACCACACATGATTGTACCACCACCACCAATGGCAATGTTTATGCCACCACCATTTCCGTTGCAAAATGGTCAGCCATTTCCATTCAGTCCATACATGCCACCGATGAATCAACAACAACAACAACAACAACAGTCCAAAAATTAGACATGGACTATGGACATGGAAAAAACCAAATCTTCAGATTCAAAGAAAAAAAAATTCAAAAACTGAAAAGCTGGTCTTTTCAGAATGGAACATAACCATTTTTATTTTCATTTTTTTTTTTTGTTGATTGGAAAAAACTCTTTTCCATAATCTTTACCTACATGATCATGATGATTATGATGTTTGATTGTATCATATATAGTGAGATTTGTTTCTCGAATGAATGAATTCATTTTCTTCCTGTAATGTATAAAAAAAAACAAAATGAAAACACAAATTCAATTATTTATTTATATTTTAGTAGTTAAACATTAAAAAAAATTCAAAATTGACTTGTATCATTCGGTACTCTGTATGTGTGTGTGTGTGTGTGTGTGTGTGCGTTGTTTATTAGAAGAAAAAAATTTTCAACTTTTGGATGGCCATTCATAGTCAGGCAAAAAAAAACGATGCGGAAGACAACAGGTTAACAATGCAACAAGTATGTTTATCATCATCGTCATCATCATCATAAAATTGTTATAAATTCATCAATGATAGACAAAATAAAATCAATAAATTGTTTGTTGTTTTTTCTATTGCCGTATTTGAATTTATTTCAAAAATTTCCATTCGATTTTGAATCATAAATCATCATCAAATTAATCCTTTAAAAGGTTAAATTGACACATTTATTCAAAGGTCATGTCTGTCTATGTGTTTGTGTGTGTGTGTGTGTATGCGTGTTTATGAGATTTAGATCAAGTGATTTTAATGGTTGAATGGATCAAATCAACATAAATACCTTTTGAAAGATTGTCAGATGACAATTGATTATGATTACTGGCTGCAAAAAAAATCAATTTTATTATTATTTACTATTAACCGACTTCCTAGATAATAATTATGATTTTCAAATTGTTCAATTGAAATTTCAATTGATAATAATGTTGATGTTCATTCATTAGAAACACACACATGCACACACACACATTGACAAAAAATTTGATTTAAAATAATTTTTTTTCATAATTTGAAACTTACATTTGACCAATTCAATTTGTTGACGATGATGATGATGATTTGATCGCTGTGTTCACACACACAATGAAACGTTAAATTCGAAATATTTTTTTTTTTGGATTCACTCAGATCCACCACCAACACCACCGTCCAACCAATTGAACAAACAAACTGGTAGCGCTTACATTTACTGATAACCTGATTTTCCAGATTTTCTTTTCCATTAATTAACAAATTTTTAAACCATCATCATCAAGTAACCATGTTTCTACTCTTTAATCGATAGTGTTTCGCCAACAAAAAAACTAGGAAAAAGAGTCGGTAGAGTTTGTTGCATCATCATTATCATCCTCATTGGATGAATGAAAAAAACCAGGTAGCATTTTATTTAGAAAAACAACAACAACAACAACAATCTAAATCGGAAAAAGGGATTTCTTCCATTTTTTGCAATGGCTGATCAATTTATAATAAAAATAGATTTATCATAATGAATGATGATTTTCAAGTAATGATGCGATGTCTTTGAACGATTTAAATTCAATTCGTTCATCAGAATCATGTCAACAAGTGCAAATATTTTTGAGTAGAAAAAAAATCGATCGTTCAAACCAAATTCATGAGGAAAAAAAACACACAAAACTATTATCAAATCGGATCAACGGAAAAAAGTAAGGAAAAAAAATACTTAAATCGTGAGATTACCGATGGTGATGGAAAAAATTTTGTCATTTTTTTTCTTCATTTTTAAACTTTGGAATTAAATCGGAAACATCATCACCTTTGTGAATACAGGAAATATTGTCCGATTATGATGATCGTGTTCGTGTTTTGAACATTACACAGACAGGTAAACATTGATTAATGATTTTAGAGAAAAAAAATGGCCATAATCATGAATCGATTCCAAAATTGATGATGATGATCGTGGGAAATTTTTTTTTCTTTTAATTATAGCAATCATCATTATCCGATCATTTTTTTTGGGTGGGTGGGTGGATATTAATAATCGATTATTTTTTTTCGTATTTATCAATTAGAAATGGTTTAATCAGATTAAGTAAATTAAAAATATAAAAAGAAGGAAAAGGATCATTTCAAAGATTTTATCCACAATGGAAGGAAATGAAACCAAAAACAAAAACATCTTCAGGACTAATCAATGATGATGATGAGTTCCTGTTTTTCCTTTTTTTTTTTTGAAACTAAAAAAACGAATTATTTCAGTCTACAAGTGTCAGTGAAAGCGAGCAAGCCAGAGAGAGAGAGAGAGAGAGAGGGAAAGTTGTTGATGATGATTACAACTTTAGTTGTTTTTTTTCCTTTCATCGATTTTTGATCATTCGACCAAATATAACCTGTCCAAATATAATTGATATTTACTTCATTAAAATGATGGTTCGGTGTTCTAGAAATAGAAATTCTCTCCGTCTGTGATCAACATCAATTGTGAAGGCAAATATGTTGTTGTTGTTGTTGTTTTTTTTCACCAAACAAAATTTGAGACAAATTTCTCTCTTTTTCATTTTTTTTTTTTTTTTTGGTTCATGGCTCTAGTGTTTCTTTAGGTGGTGGTAGTACCAGATAGATCAGTGTGTTTGAGAGAATCTAGAAAGAAAAAGAATGTGAGAGAGACGACTGTTGTTATCTATGAACCATCTATGAATATTTCATCATCATTCGGTGAGAGTATTTAGGACAATTTAACTAAAAACAAATCGTCTTAGTCGTCGTCGTCGTCGTTGTTTGAATGTTATTTTGGGTAAAAATGAAAAATACGATCTAATTGGAACTAGCTGCTACTATTGAAATTGAAAATTGTCGTCGTTTCTTCTTCTCCAACAGCACTCATCAGGTTGTTTTTCGTTTTCTATTAGAAAAAAAAGATGTTGATCATTTAAAATGAGATGATTTGATTTGATTCGTTTGGTTTGTCATCATCATTGGTATATATCTCTTCACCATTTTTTTGGATTATAGTGTGAAATAATCTGTTCGTTTGATGACTATAAAAATTTCTTTCATTTCTTCAAGCATTAAGATTTTAAATTTGGTGTTGATTTCACACGTAAATTCACATTTGGCGTGTGAGGATTTTTCTTTTCTTTTTTTAAAAAAAAACTTAATCTAAATTTTAAGCATCATTTTTGATTGTCATCATCAACAACAACAATTGAATAAACCGGGTATTCTTTTCTTTCGAAGAAAATGGCTGTAAGTATTCATTTTTCGTAGAAAAAAATTTCATTTTTTTTGTTCATTTTCATTTTTTGTCTGAATATAGCTATCGAAAAATAATAATAATTTATCATTATGGCCACAATTGATAATGATGATGGCTACAATCGTTTTTGTTTGCCTATTATCATCACCATCAACAACAGTATTTGCTCGAAGCTATTATCCACCAAAATATGAAGATAATCGACAAAGCCGAATTAAATTGAATTTAGGTCTTCATGGTTAGTACGATGATGATCATGATTATTCTTATTTTTATCTTCATCATAAAATTTTGTTTGTATCTTATTTTTTTTTGTCCACCACCAAAACTCCAATATTTAGTGCCACCAATAATTGTTAAACTTCCACGAATGGAAATGCCACAATTGGTCATTGGAGCGAATTTGATTAAAAATCCAAAAGGTATGATCCCATCATCATTTTTTTTGCATGATCGAAATAATAATCTAATCAAATCTATCAATTCAAATTGAAGCCAAACCATTGGTTTTGAATATGCCACCACCACCAAGTATATCATTCGGTGATAGTAAATACGACGGAGGTGCATATGGCCATGCTGGATACAGCGGTGGTTATCAGTATGCAGCATCCGGTTCAGCACAAACAGAAAATGTCAAAACATCGCCATCCAATAATAATGAATATGGTATGGATTTGAAAGCCTATAGCAGTGATCAATATCAGAATATGATGCATCCATCGGCTGGTGCATCTGTGTCCGTTCCACCGCCCCCACCACCACCAGTTCCTGTTCCGATGGTTTCACAATATTCACATGCACCACATTATTCACATCAACATCATCATGCAATGATGCCACCACCACCACCGCCACCATCACCATCAATGCATTTTCAACATGAACATCCTGATCTTGAACCAAAACCAATGCCACCAATGATGCCACCACATATGTTACCACCACCACCACCACCGATGGCTAGCCCAATTCAATCATATCCAATTCAACAACCACCATACTATGGAACAATAGAACATTTGATGCCACATTATCCTGTCGAACGAATGAGTCTTTCTTCATTGAAAGCTGAAGCTGAACCAGGAATGATGATGGCAATGTCAACGAATCAACAGCATCATCGAATATTGCCACCACCACCACCACCATCAGCATATAAATCACCATTTCAATTGTTAAAAAGCTCTGGTGATGATTTTAAATTTCGTTTGAAACCAAATGCCGAAATTTTCGATAGTGCACAAATGTATTCAGCCATCAATGATGATCAACAAGATAGTGATACAATCAATGAAGATTATAGTAAAGATTATAATGCTGCACCAAAAATTTCGATGCCAAAATATCAGCAAAGAAATTAGATTATTATTATTATTTTTTTTCAATCAACAAGTGTGTGAGCCATTTTACACAACCACCAACTCCATGCTCCTGTGTGGTGAGCAAGAAGGTGCCAATTTATATATAAATGATACACAAATCCAATTCGAAAAAAATATCAAACCAATCTCTTTAGTCAGATACCAAAGAATTAGTGGTAGAAAAAAGTGTGTGTAGGTAAAAAAAAAATTTGTTTGACACAAAAAAAAATTCATCTTTTTTTCCACAGAATCTCATTTCACATACAAATTCCTTATACACTTGACAATTGACACACAATTATGTTATGCCCATTACGATAAAACACACACACACACACACAAACAATTTTTTTTTATAAATTTTGTATTACAGGTCAATTTTCAATAGGAAAATTTGCCTTTTTTCTTCTACTTCTTTGAATTATGAACATGATTTTATTGAATAAATAAACGAAATGTGACAACAACGATCCCGATGTCGATATCGATTTCCATCTATTGAGTAATGGTCATAAATTGGGAATTATCCGTCTGGATAATAAATATACAACACATTTCGGAGTGATGACCCAAACTTGTCTGTAACTTGTTTTTTACACTGCCACGAAAAAGAAATACGAAAATAAATTTTTTTTTTTCAAAAAAAAAACCAAAGCATCATGATGATTGATGATTGATTTTAAAAAGATAAAAATAATAATAATAATAATTGACTTTATTGGCTGATTTTATTTATTTCAAAATTTGATTTCTGTCTGTCTTTGTGTGTGTATGATGGTCATGTTTTGTCATGTGATCTGTTGGTTTTTCAATTAAATAAAACGAAGAAAAATAGACAACCCTAAAGTCACTCAGTTAAAACAATTCAATTATCAATCAATTCAAATTGAAATGACTAGCGACAATATGAGTACGGAGGGGTGAAAGAAATTGTGTGACAATGACCAAAAAAAAAAAAAATTTTAATTGTAAAAATTTAGATTCAAAATTTTTTTCCCCAAGTATTTGTCTCATTTGTTTGGGACTGTGGAAAATATTTTTTTGTTTTTGTTTTGTTTTTGTTTTTGGAAGAACAAACATTCAGTCTGTATATATATTGTTGTGTGTGTGTGTGTGTGTGAATGACAAAAAAAAAAATTTTTTTTCAGTATAATCAATAATAATTCAGGTAATTTTTATATATGTAAATAAACATGTGATAATTATATATATTTATAAATGAAAAACAAAAGAAAATTGTGTTTCTGTGTGTGTGTGTGTGGATGTGAATTTTTCATTTTTCATTTTAAAGGGTTAAAAAATTTTGCACTTTAAATCAAACACACAAATCACACGCAAAACACAAGATTTTTTTTTTTTTTTTTTTTGATTATGTGGGAAAAAATCTGAATCTGGTCATCAGTTTTTTTTTTTTTTTGAAATGGTGAATCCAAGAGTAAGAGAAAGAGAGAGAGAGGAAGAAGAAGAAGAAGAGCGAAAACATTTGAAATATTTTTTAACATCCATAAATGTTCAAAATGTTATTATGATTCATTAGTATTTTCGTAAATTAATAGAACAAATAAAAGTCAATCAATCAATCAATCTATATATGATGATAATGATGGTGGGCGTATGGTGGATTTTTTTTTTTTTTAAATCTTGTGTGTATGTGTGTGTGACTTGAAATATATAGCTATATATTTGAATGATAAATTGAAATTGATCATAACAAAAGCTATGCGAGCGCAATGGTGACAATGATGAAGATGGCGAAGATAATTTTCAAAAAACAAATATCTTTTTTTTTTGAAAAAATGATAAATTTAACAATGGGACAATGTGTGTGTGTGTATGTCTGTGTGTATAATGTTGGTGATGATTGTTGATGTTAAGAAAAGAAACGAAAACGATTCTTGGCTGCAAATATGACAAAGTGTACAAATGTGGATTTAGGTGTTTTGTTTGTTTGTTTGTTTGTTTAAACATCGGTAGATGGTAAATATCTGAACAAAAAAAATTGTATACAATACACATTTATAGCTTTTTTTTAGATTTATCACGGTCATTATTTGTATGCATGTGTGTTGTATTGTGTTTCTGACAAAAAGTGATTATCACGTTCGAAAAATCATTAATGATAATAAGAAAAAAAAGTGTTTGAAAATATCAGAACAAAAAAACCTGCACCTGATAAAATGATGATGATCAATTTTTTGTTTCATTGTTGGTTGTTTGATCAATATTGTTGACGAGAAATGGAACTAAACTTGTTATTGGCCAACATTAAATCTTGGTGCTTATTACTTTGTTGATCATTGTTATGATGATGATGATGATGATGATGATGATGATGATTATGATTATGACCAAATTCATTGCCTGTATGGCTATTAATTGATCGTTTTGATCCAGAATTGTTTGGTTGTACGCTATTATTATTATTATTATTGGCCGACGATGATGATGATGATGAATTATTGCTATGTAGAGTATCATAACGTCGATAAAAAAGTAGATAAGGCACCAAGTTGCCTTCACGTTCCGTTCCGGTGAGTACTTTTGATAGTGAGATCACTTTTATATTTGAATCATCACAACGGAGCCATTGATTTAGACCAAGATGATATACATCAGTAATATAATGACCGTTTATCACTTCGGTACCGTTGTGATAGACAACTGAACAAAAAAATGTTTGTGAAATTATAGAAATCACAAAAATGTTTAAATTGAATCACACATAATCAATCAGTCACTAAAAACATACCTGCCAACAGTTTATATCGTCGACAACGATGATCAATTTTTCCAGTCACGCATTCACGTGGAATTTCAAAATTTTCATGAAAATCAATCGTTTTTAGCAATTTTTTGCTGGCACCCGTTTCAATTTCATAATCGAATAATTTTAAATGTAGTATCAATATGGGTGGAAGATTCTCCAAAAACATTTGACTACTAGCATCGACAATTTGTTTGGTTTTCGAACATGTATAACCATGAATGGTTTCAGATTTTGTTTGCCAACGAATGGCATCATCCAAAGTTTTGATAGATGATGGCTAATTAAATGGATGACAAACAAAGCAAACAAGATTAGAATTCAAAAGTTTTTTTTGTTGTAAGGAAAATTTTTACTTTAATATCAAGTTGAAGAGTGAAAAATGGCTGTCTATTACCACAAGAATCTTTGTCTTTGTTTACAGTTCGGATATCCAAAGTTGATCCACCAAATATTTCAGTAATTGATGTTGAAAATATTTTAGCCTAATTTTCAAACAGAAATAGATAGATTATCAATATTTTGAAATGGTCATTGAAAAAAAGTCACGAACCGATCGAGTGGGTAAAGATCTATGTTTTGTAGTGCCAACTTCATGCCAAATATCATTGGATGAATCCTGTACACCGTCATCATCATCAACATCATGACAAAGACCAAGTTGATCATCGAGCTCAAAATCGAATGATGTCGATTTATTACTCAAACCAAATCCATTGGTTTTATCTACACTGGATATTTTATCATTTGTTTCTTCTAATAATTTTGATAAATGTATCATCTCTTCATTCAAACCATTAAGAACTGAAGATAGAAATTCTTCAGCATCTTCTTGGTGGCCACGTTGAGCATCATTTTTGATCATACCACAATGTTTTAATGTATCATAAATGAATGTAGGTTCGAATGGATCAGTATTGAGCAATTCTTCAAGATATGAATTGCCCACATTTTTCATCTGACGTTTATAATCGGTTGGCAAAAATTTCACAAAATAACGGGCACTATATTGAAAGTGAAAAAAAAACAATTAAAACATTGATTTAAAATTTGAATACAATCAAAATAAAAACTATTTACAAATTGTCGATGATTGGTGTCGATGTAGATTGACGAAATAGGCCAGGCGTTTCGGAAATTTCACGCATTAAATTATAGAATGGAGGACAAGCTAACAATGCTTGCATAGTCTATCGATGAATAAGATATCAATCAATCATTTGTAATCAAAATCAAATCAAATTGGACTTACAGCATTTACATAGCACCAATTTCCTCGATTAATCAATCCTCGTGGCATGATAGTTGGAAGCGAATGTTTTAAATGAATATTATCGCGTAATCTTTTGGCTAGTTTGAAAGCAATTGGATCATTTTTTATAGGTATGACGGTCATATTTTTCAAATTATTATCATCATGATGAACATTTGATGATCGTCCTGAACGTCGATTACTTGAATGGTGATTTTTAATAATCACATTTAATTCGGGAAAATCGCCATTTGGTTGTAAACTCGGTGATTTTAATTCTGATGAGACTGTAACCACAAACGAATTGGTTGTAGAAATGTCATGGATTACGTTGACTTTGGATTCTTCTCCATCATTATTGTTTGAATTCGCCATTTGATTTTCAATATTATTCAGGCCAGTTGTGATACTTGTAGGGAAAAGTCTGGAAGCCCATGTAGTAGGTTTATTAGAAGACGGATCAGATTGTTTGTTATTAGTAAATTGTTCAGCGGCTGCATCATCGGTTATTGATTCTAATTCAGTATTTGCTGCTACAGTATTGTTATTTTGGATCACGGCGGGAGTTTCGATTTGATCAGAATCTTTTGTAATTGTTGTATTGTCATCATCTTTGCCAGATGAATCGGAGATATTCAAACAAAGTTTAAGATAATCTGAAGCCTGGTTAACATCAGTAGTTTCCGGTGATGATTTTTCGGAAACATTTTGATTCGTTTTGATAACTTCATCTTGAATGGTTGACTGGGAAGGCACATTTTGATCTATCATAGAGTTTTTGTCATCCGATGTAGACATGGGGCGATTTTTTTGCAGCTGAAGATCGGAAGGAGATGACTCATTAGGTTCATGGTTATTTGATGATGATGATGATGATGATACGTGTTTGAGCATCAAAAACCGTAGTCTCCTGACCCGAAGTATTATTTTGATATGGTGTTGTCGAAGTCGATGATATCGATGATGTAGATATCGACGAAGAAGAAATGGTGGTGGTAACCATAGCTGCGGATGGGATCGATGAAGACGATGAAGCCGGTAATTGAGGTGGTTGATTAGTTGATGTCAGTGGTATATTCATCGATGATGATGTATTGATGAGGTGAGCAACGGGAGGAATCGGTGATATATGCGTCTGTGGTGGTTGAATCGATTGATATTGTAAAAAGCTTTCAGATGTAACATAATAAAACGGTTGATGAGGAAAATGATGCGGAAAAGATAAGGCATGTGGCTGAAAGGCATAAGGATTGGCATAAGAACTTAGGTGATGAGCAGGCATGGCCACAGTTGCCGTTGAACCACCGTTAGAAACCAATATCTGATCACTGATATTGCCTCCACTTTGATCACCTGTGACTGATGCATTCTTGAGACGTTGATTAACATCAATTATTTGTCGAGTTGCCTAAATATGAACAAGTGAATTTTGTTTATTAAACAATAAAATAGGAATGAGAATTAGACAAAAACTTACATCAGAATACTGAGGAGACATGTAAATGTTTGAAGAGTTACGTATATCACAGATAGGTGAACTATTGACATTAGAAGGATTCTTTGAATTTTTATTATTCGATGATGAATGTACGCCAATATTTTGCATTGTCGGCATTCGTTGATGTTGTTGATTGACTGAGGCGGCGGCCGCTGCGGTTGGATGGACTGGTTGTTGTGATGCACCGAGCGGTAAAGTATGGATTGCATATGGATGATTTGGTGGTGGTGGTGGTGGATGTGGATAATAGGCTGGATGTGCTGCTCCAAATATATATGGATGTGGTGGATGTCCATGTGGTGCAGCAGCGCCAGCTGATTGGGCTATATTTGTAACCAAAACGGTTGAATTTGGTGGTTGTTGTTCATGATGATGATGATGATGATGATGTTGATTTGATGCTGATGTTGTGACCGCTGTTTTTGTAGGCGTTGTTGTTGTTGTGTCCCATTCATTATTAAGATTTTGATGATGATGATGATGATTAATAAAACGGGGATGTTGTTGCTGATGATGATGAAAATGGTTATTATTTTGATGATGATTATTATGATGATGATTATGAGAACTTTCAAATGAATGATTATTCTGATGTAAATGCTGTTGTTGTTGTTGATGATGATGATGATGATGATAATGATTGGTTTTGTTTGATGTTGCTATTGTTGTTGTTGTTGTTGATGTAGAATTTTGGCTAGACGATAATGGTGTATGTAATAGTGTAGCTGGTTGTGGTTGTGGTGGTGTAGACTGAATATCACCACCATTCATAAGAAAATGATGATGATGATGATAATTTTGAATGTTCATTTGGACTATTGATAAAATTATTATTATTATTACTGATAATTTGTCCAAGACGATGAGTGTTGTAATTTAAAAGAAACTACATTTATTTCAAATAAAAAGAATTAAAATTTGTTTGAAAATAATAATCAGCAAAAACGACAAACCTCAATGCCAGAAGATTCATATTTGATTACATCCAAGGCTTGAGCTTCTTCATTACTTATACCAGTGGAATCGAAAAATTCCATGATTCTGTTTTTTGTTTGTTTTATTTTGCAGTTTTTTTCTCTTTTGTAATTGTTGTTTCTATGTAGAATCTTTTGAAGATAAAAAATTGGAAATTAAATTTTTGAGAGAGAAAGATGATTTCATCAATAACACAACACATACACAAATGGGAAATAATTTAATTCAGATCATTTGAATAATACACTCATACAAAAAACTTTTTCAAAACTGTTGCTGCTAATTATTTCAAAAACTGATGAACTTTTTCTTCTCTTTTCCTATTTTGCCATATATAACTCTTGTATATTTTTTTTTCTTCTTGCTCATTTGTTGATTGAGGAAAGTAAAAAATAAAAATAAAATTAAAACTATCGATGATTATGATGACGACGGTGTGCTACGACGACGACGACGATCATCAATTGCATACACACAGACATACACAAGATACTTTGCCATAGTTGTCGTCGTCGTCGTCGGCTAACTAAAAAAATCGGCGTGGATCATCATCATCACCATCATCGACGAGTGATATTTCCATTCACAATTCATGTAATGTTGGAGTTTGCGCTCTTTGTTTTTTTTTTTTTTTTTGGTTAACAAGAAAAAAGAAAAAATCTTTTAGCTGGAATCTCTTTGTATATTTTAGTATGTTATAAATGTGCACAAATTTTTCTCAACTTGATGATAATAATGATGATGATGATCATCATCATCATGATAATGTATGGTGATGGTAAAAAAAAAATCAAAGCTCTTTGTATATAAATGATGGCCATATATACCTACACACACACACATATGCAACATGCTGATATTATTTTATCGAGAACAGAAAAAAAATGGGCAAAGAGAAAAATAGATGGGGAGGAAAAGAGGGAAACATTCAACAAACACATCCAGATACACCGATAACAAATGGTTTGTGAATGCAACGTGTCAACGTTACAAAATTTTAAAAAATTAAAAAAAAATCAATCGATTCAATGGTAATTTCAATTTAAAGAAAGTGAAAAAAAAATTCTGTTTTGTATAACCGAAAATGATTTCTATTTTACTTGGTATTTTTACTTTGATCTATTTTTTTCCACATAGTTCACACTCATGGTGTTATTTTATGGATAAACGAAAGAGATGATGATATAGGAGGCTAACCAGCACCAGATATATATAAAACACACACACACTCCACATTCACATACAAAAAGTCGACAGTAATCGAATATGAATCAGCAGAAAATTTTAATCAAACGTTATTATATTTGCATTAGTGGTGTGCGATATATTTGCCTTAAAACTTTGTCAAAGTTATAGCAAATGGATATGTGTGATCATCATCATCATCATTCATTTATTCATCCATCTGCTATATTTAAATTGAATCGACTAAAATAAATTAATCAATTGATTGATTGATAAATAAAGGTGAATAAAGACACAACACACACACACACAGATCGATACAAATGATATTTTGAAAAAAAAAAGAAGTGGCTAATTTTTCAAGTTGATTAACCGTAATCAGCCTTGATATACTAGTGGTTATTATTCATCAGTTTCACACATTATAAGGATAAAAAAAACTATTTTTTTCCATTACTAAATGACATGACATACCTTTTTATTTTTTGCTGGATGAAGCCAAAAAAAAAACGAATTCCTATGTTAAACACACAAAACGGTTATTCAATTGAATAACATTTCAAAATGTTTTGATGAATTATTCTGATAATATATACTAAAGACAAACGAAAATCAATGTTAGAATTTTAATATTTATATTAATAATCGCCATTATGGAAACTTACTTGTATAATTTATAAATTGAAATCGATATGAAACAAGACAACAATCTTACATGATATAAATTCATCAATCTGGTGTTTTGTTATTGTTGATTGGTGATCTGTGAAATCGAAAAAAAATGATTACTCAATTGAACAACAACCATGAACAAATAATAATATAATCAATTTAAATTGACAAACATACAGAAACTTTTTTCGTCTCACACTATATACTACTTATATTTATTTTTTCATAATTAAATTGTCTAACAAGGAAACAAAATGCAACGAAAACAAAATTTCATCCATTTATCCAATCAATCGATCCATGCAAACAAACAAACAAAAAGAAAAGAAAACATAATAATTTTACCTTAGATGAATTTGTTGTTGTTGTTGTCGTTGTGTTGAAATCGAACATATAACAAAAACGTAGGATATGATGATGATGATAATTTGTGTGTATGATTGCTAGGTTCAAGTATTTTTTTTACCTTCAAATAAATTTGAATTTGATGACTAATTCTTTCGACAACAACAACAACAACAATATAATGACAACGAATATGAAATAAAACACATCAACTGCACAAACAAACAAAAAATTACATATATCACACAACAATAAAACAAAATTGAACAAAATCGAATTGTGTCGATCAATGTGTTTATTATATTTTTTTTAAAGATAGAACGAAAAAGTTTCTCAAATATAATGATGATGATGATGATGGACAGTTCGATCATCAATCGAAAAAAAATCAAAACAAAATCACATAATCAAAACAACACCGATATGTGTAGAAACAGCAGCAGCAGATGATGATGATGAATATTTACCAAAAAAAAAAGAAAATTCTAAATTAGCCAAAATGAAATTCGAATTCACACTATGATGGACTGAATTATAAATATTTTGCTTGGACTTATGATGATGATTATGAAAAAAAATTAGAATTATCGATGATAATTATAAAAATGTTGAGGATTGTTGTTGTTGTTGTTTTCTTGAGTAAAATTATCATGAAATTATAAAGAAAAAAAAAATTTTCGACCAACAAAACCGAAACGAACAAATCAGCTTAAAACACACATATACACACACAATTGTGCACAAACAGCAGTAAATGGCTCGCAAGCATAAAACAGAGTGTGTATGTCCTGTTCATAGAAGATAGTACAAAAAAAACACAGTGTATATTTTGTAATTGCAAACTCATTTCATCATCACGACGATTGTGACTGCAGCAGTATACTACACTATTCAATGATAGTGAAAGTTAATACACACAAGGGGAAAGGAAGCTGCCTACACCGCTGCTAGCATTTTTACCAATACATACGCATGCTCTTAATACATGTTTTTGTTGAATAACTGGCGCCATCTTTTATACAAAAAAAAATAAACAACAACAAAATATTACATTGTATTTGATTAGGACTTTTAATCTTTTTTTCAATTTAAAGTTTGTTCGGTAAAAAAACAAAACAAAAAAAAAAATCGGAAATTGAAAAAAAATTTAGATATTCCAATATTGGAAATCTGAAATTTTTTTTTCATCGTATCTCTATTTGCATTCATTTTTAATTGAAGTTATAATAGCCGGAATATATGCTGCCACCATCATCATCATCATCATCATCATTATTCTTGTATTTATATAGAATCCATGTATCCAAAAAAAAAAAAAAATTAGTTCAATGTCTGTCGGTTTTATATAGAAAAAAAAATCACCAATACACCAATTCCATCATCATCATCATCATCAGCTGGTGTATAATCATTTTGTATTGTTGTTTATATATTCTTCATCAACGCACACACACACACACTTATTCTTGATTCTTGTAAATTCTTTTGGCTATTTAAACATTTATATATATATTATATCAAATCAATCAGTCACCCTATAACAAACAAAAAAAACAAATCCATTTTTTTTCGGTATAAAATTTTTTTATTATGCTCGGACATCAACCTTGTGAAAAGTGAGATTTGTTTTTGTTTTGTTTTTGTTTTGTTTAAATTTTCAATTTGTGCAATAATAAATACACACAATTCTTCTGTTCACGGTTTATAAAAAAAATCAATTCGACATTGCAAAACATTTTTTTTATTAAATTTATATAGGAGGATTTCATCATCATTCAAACCAGAAAGGAAATTTCTTTTCCTTTCTCTCTCACACACGCACATACACATCTTCATTTCTCACTCGCATGCATGTTCTGTCTGTTAAATTCCCATTTAATCTATTGTATTTTCAATCGAATGATTTATATCCATCCACAAATAAATAAAATAATTTATCGAACACGTTATCCTTAATCGTTAAATAAATTTCCTTGTTATTAGTGAAGTTGGGCGACTAATCTTCATTCCAGTCATGAGAAATTCCCCATCAGCTGCACCCTAGAACTGTATTGAGTATATCTACAAATATAGAAATCTAGAAAGGATCTAGTACATGATAAGCCAACAGGATTGTGAAATCATTTTCCCAAATTAATAATTAATACTATCATCAACGATTTCAATCAACCGCCAGCACAAAACATAATCAATAGTCACATCACAACAAAACATCTAATATCAACCACTACATTTTCCTTTCTTCAGTAAAACAACATTATTCATTCTACCATTTTTTCTTTTTCTCAATCAAATATTTCACCATAATCAAACATTTTTCCAGGTATATCACATACAAACTAATTCCACATAATACCATCCTCCGTCAACTACCATCATCCATAACCGTTTCTGCACTCAGCATCACGACAAATCAGACAACATTTTCAACATGATCAGATACAAACAGGGTCAAACAATCCACAAAGAACTGACCGGAATAACAACACACCTGGTCCAACGTATGACCATAAAGGTTTCCTCTCAAACAACCGAAGACCAACTAATACAATGAAAGGGAAGCAATTGTTCAAAGAGATCATCGATCGTCACATGAAACACTATCCAGACGGAAGGGCCGATAAAACCCAAACCTTCCGCGAATTGAAATACTAACGGAAGCAATAAAACAGCCCTGGTGAATTAAAAACAGACTGAAACCATAAGCTTTGGGAAAGGCCTGAGTAAAATAAATAGAGTCAGCCTTTTAGAATCAATAAGACAGTGGAGGACAATACGCTTGTTACAACAAATCAGAGCGACGATAAGAAGTTCATGACCGAATAAGTTGACATGTTGAATTTCCTGGTGAGTTTATCCAGAATCCTTAACACGTCTGTTATATATTCTTCCATCCCATCAATCCCAATCGATCATTTATACAAAGAGAAATTTTAGGATTGATATCCAGAAAATTGCAGGCGCATCTAATTCAGACACAACTGTATCCATACTTTCATGACTGATGCTGGAGATACACAGGAATATTATTAATTCAGAAAGAGTAATGAATCCGGGACCATCGCATCACCAGCCCGGAAAGATATCCGCACATGATCGCCGCACAACCGAAACTATTTCCACAACAATCAAAGAAATAGATTATGTCAAGACCATTCCAAAATCAAAACAACGGATTGAACTATTCTCTAACAAAATCAACAGCGAACAACAAAAATCAAAATTGATTCCGCAAAGGTCACTACAACTTGTGACTGAGAAAGGCAAATTTGCCAGCAAGTGGGAGATGCAGAGTTAAAATCCGACAGCACATCTTTAAGGCGAGCACCTGTTTTGGTTATGCCCCGTTTACCACAGGCCAAACCACCAGCAATCAAAACAATCAACGACCACCAACGGCGCCGGAAGTAAATTCGCCAATTGCTCTGCCTACACCTGATTCAAGATCGCCATCAAATTCAAAACACCAATACTGAGCAACACACCATGAACAAGAACAGTGCAAATTAATGGACCGAAATTACAAACCAGGCGAGCTACCTGGACAAAACAGCCAATTATAGTCACGCCAATTATAGGCAGATCAAAAGAAAATCACACTTTCGTAGCAATGCCGATTGCCAGGAGGACGCTATCCGAAAAATTCAAACTCGCGCGATCAACGCCATACGGCAAGATCGACCAACCATCGCGAGTGAAGCGACACAAAATCAAACACGACAATGTCCAGGAAAAGAGACGCAAACCAAATTGAAATCAATAGTGTGTCAAATCAAACCAAAGGGGAAGTAGGCCAAGTACGAATGACAAGTGCTACACTAATCTGGAAAAACAACATTCCCATTAACCAAAACCGTATCGCAATATCAGTAGTGGACTGCTGCATGACGCCCAGGTCAATGATCTATTGAACGAAACCTAATACGGAGATCAACGTCTGATTATTCTTCCTGTGGTGCTCAAACAAAAGATGAAGGTGAAAAAATCAAGGCCATGTGCGGACTTCCGAAACCGAACACCATCACCATCCCGAAAAGATACCCATGCCGGTCACATTAAAGATATCATCGAGGACCGACTTTAGGGCTAAGATTTTCGCCACCTTAGATATATCATCGGGTTTTCATCACATACCGGTTGCCGAAGAGGATGACGGAAACAGCCTTTGTTACAATGCATGACTTTGAATGGAATAACAAGACAACAGTGCACCAGCGATTTTCCAGTAATGCATACAATATACTAAAAAGAAACGGCCTAACCACCGCCCATAATTACACTGATGACATTATCTTCTCGAAATCAGAAGAAGACCACCTTGTCCATGTTGAAAGGTTAGCAGAAAAGAGAAAATCTCATTAAAGGTCAAATGTCATCTATGAAAAGAACTGTTCCGGTCAATCAGCATTCTGAAAATCAAATTTGTCCATTAAACAGCAATGTCGCAGCCATCAATGAATACCCACCGCCAACGATAAGAAGACACTACGTCGTTTTTGGGAAAGAATAATTTTTATCATCGTTTATTCCCGATCGCACAAAAACCTGGATCCGTTCTATGAATTATTATTAAAGAAGGATGTAACCATCTATGGATAAAATTTTTTGTATTTTCAATCTAAAGACCATTCTCATCACGGACGCTTCGATATCGGCATGATTTCGCCAAAACTGCTAAAGCATCAAAGGAACTACGTGGTCAAATGAAATGAAGCTTTAGACATCAGTGACCGGGCCATGCGGCTAAACCGCCGAATTTGGCTTGATATAAAGGCGAGACAACCAGGAAGTGCTGATTTCCGTCCCAAACCGCCCGACCTTCGAGGTGAAGTCCGGCTACTTGATAGAAATGGCAGAGACTGTTGTTGCAAAATCCACCGCGCGTGCAAAGAAGAACGGCAGCTGAAGCGGTGCGTAAGGATGTACGAAGATGAAGCGTTAAGCAAGAACTGCGGAGAATACACGAGGAAAAGGGACACTTGAATGGTGAAGACTAACCAGCATTTTGCCCTCAAATACTTTCGCCAACAAACAAAATGGAAAATCGTAAACGGGTGTGAGATTGCAACGCTGAAGAAGCTATGATACGAAAGCATGGGGAAACGATAAGACATTCGGCCACCGAACTCCCTACCAGGCTACACATCGACCAGTGATTTTCCGAACTGCGGTAAACCCGATATCTACACATCGCTAGTTGATGCTTTCTCCTGTTTCCATCGGATCCGCATCCCAACATCAAAATTCGCAAGATTATCTAAATCTTCACAGCAGATCGAAGAAGATGGGACACCGTCGAACCAGACGACTATTACGTGAGTTTGTAAATCAGATCGGTTCAGATCTGTAGGCTGAGAACAAAATCCATTGTGCTGGTTCACACCCACCGCCCATCCGGCCAAAGCAATGGACTGGTCGAACGTGGGACAAAACCATAGTGGAGAAACGCGATGCAAAGCGTTCATCGATGTTCGCTGGCAAAAGAAGTAGCCACATATCGAATATAATCACACCATCCACAGCAGTACCAACTACCCCAGCTTATCTCTGGCGGAAGAGATCCGACGAGATCTACCACGGTTATTGACTGAAATAATGACCGTAAGAGTTTCGAGCACAGCCAGTCGGCCTACCAAAAGGAACTCAAACGTATTGTTCAAAAACAAATTCCATGGAAACTGAAATTGGGGACATGGTATATGCCGATCTGGCAGATGAATTAAACAAGAAAAATTGACACCCGCGCCGAACGGTAAAGTGATTAATGTAAACATCGGAGGTCATGTTCGGAAATAAAATTACCAAGATGTACAGAGAAGGTACATACTGGTAAGTTAAAACCTTTTGTCCCAGCCGTGGGAATCGGTGATGACGAATGATTTCAAATGTCATCCACTAACGTATCACTACGGCGTACTATACTCATCATTAACCTCATTCTACTACGCCGACCAAAATTTTCATCCAACAATTTTTTTTGTTTGTCATCTGGAACCAGCAGCGTATGGATTCATTGAAAATTTTGCGGGATATCATACCATCAGAAATTTCATCATACCCAGACAATGTACTATTCGCGGTCAGATGTTCGCCGCGCCATGTAATGGATGCGGTTCCTTCGGCTGCCCCCGGGTGTCAAGTAAGATAAGGCGCGGGGATGCCGCGTCTTTGGCCCCTATCATTTGATTTATGAACGGATCCCAACCGTGAACTCAATTTGCAAAACAATGATGCACAAATGAATGGTTGGCTATCATCTGACGAAAGCAGCTTAATCTGTTCATTGTTCATGAGTCGGTTACGTACTAACCGACCAACACCTGGCTATAACGATAATCAATCAAACCCCACGCAGTCGCCATGAAGCTCCATTGCTACGAGACCGTGAGATATTTCATCCCAACATATCTGCCAGATTATCGACATCTGTTGATACCGACCTAGAGTCCTAGCTACAAATCAGTGAGAACAAAAGAGAGTCATCCTTAAATAACAAATAAATGTCATTGTCCGCCAATAACGACATTTGGCATCGGAGAATGTGCGTATCATAAGACCCTAAACTGTTGCTCCGGAACAACAATGGAATTGACACCTGACAAATATGGAACAAAAGCCCATAATGATTTCTTGGTTACAATGAGCACAATGGGTTTCATGCTCAAAACTGATACAGCGTCCGCAATTCCGCATCTGCCAACCATCTACGTCCTGCCATTTGAATGACAGTATAAACGATTAAATCGCCTGAGGCTTTCATGAATCTATTTGAATTTGAGTGCTTGTTGCATCAAGATCACTATTAAATCCAACTCGAGTGCCCGTCTACTGAAGTTACACTCAAGACGATTCATCGGCTAGATTCTCCGTCTCATCATTTCATCTTCAATTTTCGACTAATTATTCTTCGACTCTCCATGGTTGGATGCATTTCGATAATTCATTCTATGGAATTTACACATCTCACCATCTTCACTTTTGGTCACTATTCTTCGACTCCCCATGGTTGACGCATTTTGATGAATTCCATTCCTGTGAATTTATTGACATATCTCACTTCATCTTTATATATAGAATGATGATGATTCTTCATAGAGTGTACATGAATTAAGCTTGAGCACGTGCTTCATTTGTGTTGCGTGTGTGTGTTGTGTTTGTGTGTTTATTTGCGGTTTTTTTTTGTCTTCCAATGCAATAATAAACACACTCAGTTTGTGTTTCAACAACACAACATAACAAACAAAAAAACCGAATAAAAAGATAAACAACAAGAAAACATATAATCAAATCAAATTATTATTTTAATAATATTCGAACGAAAAAATCATTTTCATTCATTTAAAATCAGTCAATCAAATTTATAAACGTCAAACCGAATTATATTTTCTTTATCTTTCTCTTTCTCTCTGGTGAATCATTCCATTTTTTGTCTCATCATTATTTATCTTCAGGAAAAACAAAAATGTCTAGCATGCAAGAAGATTCAATCTATTTAAATGGTGATTCATCTCCTGACCAGATTAATGGTAATGGTGATGGTCATGATCCACATGAAGATTCATTTTTATTTGCATCAGAATCTGTTGGTGAAGGACATCCAGGTATTTGTCATTTTTTTCTGATTTTATTTAATAAATTAAATGTTTTTTTTTTTTTGTAGACAAGATGTGTGATCAGATTAGTGATGCCATTCTTGATGCATATTTAACAGTGGATCCAAATGCCAAAGTTGCTGCTGAAGTGGCCACCAAATCAAATTTGATATGCGTATTCGGTGAAATAACATCATCGGCAACTATCAACATTGAAGATGTTGTTCGTAATACTGTCAAACGAATTGGTTATGATTCAATTGATAAAGGTTATTTAATTTGATAACTGAGTTGATGATAATTTGTTCTCTTTTGTGTGTGTGTGTCTGTATCACTAATCACTAATCCTTTTTTTTGTATCATCATTTTAGGTTTTGATTATCGTACTTGTGAAATCAAAATGGCTTTAGAAAATCAAAGTCCAGAGATTGCTTCGGGTGTTCACGTAAATCGTCGTGAAGAAGAATTAGGTGCCGGTGATCAAGGACTCATGTTTGGCTATGCTACCGATGAAACAGAAGAATTTATGCCTTTAACGGTAGTATTGTCACATAATTTGAATAAAAAAATTGCTGAACTTCGTCGTAATGATGTTTTTCCATGGGCTCGAGCCGATAGCAAGACTCAGGTTACATGTGAATATCGTTTTCACAATGGATCAGCTGTACCAATTCGTGTTCATACGGTTGTTGTTTCGATTCAACATTCTGAATCAATTACATTGATTGAACTTCGTAAAGAAATCCTGGAAAAAGTTATCAAAGTGGTGATTCCTTCGAATTATTTGGACGATGAAACTATTTATCATATTAATCCATGTGGAAATTTTATTATTGGTGGACCAGCTTCAGATGCTGGTCTTACTGGTCGTAAGATCATTGTCGATACCTATGGTGGTTGGGGTGGCCATGGTGGTGGTGCATTTTCTGGCAAAGATCCAACCAAAGTTGATCGATCAGCTGCTTATGCTGCTCGTTGGGTAGCTAAATCACTAGTACATGCCGGTCTTTGTCGAAGATGTTTGGTACAGGTGTCATACGCAATTGGCATTGCACAACCATTGTCAATAACGGTATTTTCATTCGGTACATCTCGTTTGACACAAAAGCAATTGGTACAAGTTGTCAATGAAAATTTTGACCTACGACCTGGCATCATTATCAGGTAACTGATTCAAAACATTCAATTCGGATTTATTAACCTAATTATCACATTTTTTGTGTTTATATCTCTATAGAGATCTTAAATTGAATAGACCAATCTATGAACAGACATCTTGTTATGGACATTTTGGCCGCAAAGAATTTCCATGGGAATGTCCAAAACAGCTCAACCTAAAATCAGTGAAATCATCATTGAATGGTAATTATCCAACAAATGGAAATGGCAATTATAATCATCACTGATATCTAATGATGATGATTAATGATTACGAGAAAAACGAAAATGAAATTTTTCAGCATATATTTAGGTCATCTTTGAATATTTTATTTCAAACAAAACAAAACAAAACAAAAACATGCACTCAATTATATTTACTAAACACATAAATGCAAAATGCACGTTTCAATTTAGACATATTAAACAAAATGAATGAAATTTGATGGGCATTTTTTTTCTCCTTCTTTCAATTCAATATATATTAACAATAAATAAATAAATATTGCATTCGATTCATATATTTTATGATGATCAATGATTGATTTGTAAAAAAAATTAGAAAGAATCGTTTATCAATTGATAAAAAAAAAATTAAAAGAATTTCATGTCAACTATTTCATAGTCACTGTGTAAATAGTTGACATGATGATTGGTTTGCTTCATATGATATCAACATCCAAGCGGTATACGCGTCAACGTTACGTGTGTTAAGAGAGAATTTTCTTTTCTTCTTTTTTACATTAAATTTCTTTTTTTAGAACCATTAAGTCTGGTCCAAATTCTATCGATTTTTTTTCTCTTCTTTCTTTGGCTTTTCATGAGTTTGTGTTGAACTTTTCCAAATTATTATTATCTAAATGTTATGAAACATTCAACTTGATAATAATATTTGTCATCCATTTGTCGAATTCATTGTTGTTGTTGTTGTTGTTGTGAATATACGAAACAAAAAAAAATCATGAATGACTTTGACGATCCATCATCGAATTCTGGTTCATCGTCCAAATTTTTCGTTACATTAAGCCGGGTATTATCATCATCATGTTTTCTATCGCCTTTTTTTTGTTTCTAATCATTTTTGTTTTCTTTCTTGATATTTAAATACAGAAATATCAAGCATTACTTGATTATTCTACGCCTCATGTTGCATATCGATGGGTTAGTAGTCCATTTTTTGTTGTTGTTGTACTAACCAGAATATTCTCATTGTTTTTATAGGTATTTACAGCAATCCTATTGTTAATTTTCATGTGTCGTGTGATTATTTATCAAGTATGTGGAATTTTTTGTTGTTGTTGTTGATTATAAAAAAAGTGACCATTTTTAAATTACAGGGATTCTATATAGTTACATATGCATTGGGCATATATTATCTCAACATGTTAATAGCCTTTTTAACTCCAAAAATTGATCCTGCTATTTATGATTTCGAAGGTAATCTTTCATATTGTTGTTGTTTGATGAATGAAACAGATTCTATTCATGTTTTTTTTTCTCATTTGATCAATAGATGAAGGACCATCGTTGCCCACATCGGCTAATGAAGAATTTCGGCCATTCATTCGACGTTTGCCTGAATTTAAATTCTGGTATTTAGTTTTTTTTCTAGTTGATTATAATTTATGAAATTGTAATATATTTTTGTATCACACACAGGTATTCATCGACAATAGCAACATTAATTTCATTGATCTGTACGTTCTTTGAATTTTGCAACATACCAGTATTTTGGCCTATATTGTTGCTCTATTTTATCATATTGTTCTGCATAACAATGAAACGACAAATCAGAGTATGGATAAAAAGTTTTTTCTCTCTTTCTGATTTTAGTTTATTGATTAATTCAATGATGTGTTTATTTTTTTCCATTCATATATTCTTATAGCATATGATTAAATATCGTTATTTGCCTTGGACTCGTGGTAAAACTCGTTATACGGGCAAAGAAGATACCGGAAAAGTTTATATAAAGTGAGCGACATTGAATGAAAAAAAAAATATGTTTTGTGTAACCTTGATGTATGATGGTGAGATTTAATGATTCTTATTATTATTATTATTGATGATGATGATGATGATGATGATGAAAAATGGTTCGAGAATAACTACTACCTACCTATCAACCTTTCTGCTACAACTGTTGGAATATTTTCCTGGTTGAATAATATTCCTTATCCGGTTTACTTTCAAAAACTTCGCTTGTACACATAAACAGACACAATTAATCAAAGTGATCGAAAAATCAAATGAAACTCGAAAAAGAAAATGTACATTATCTGTCCATATATGTATTTGTTCATTCAATATCCAATTGTTTTAGTGAATAGAATTAATCTATATCTAATCATTGTAGTTTTTTTTAAATAAAAATATTATGTTTCCATTAAACAAAACAAAACAATACAGAAAAATGAGTTAGCGTAATTGGCAAAAAAAAATCAAAAATTTTCCACCCACTATATACCATATTACGATTGTTACATTTTACAACTGAACTAATTTTTTTTCTGTTTTCATTCAATTTCTTCTTCTTCTTTTTTTTCTCATTTTGTCAATATTGACATTGATCAATCTATCACAGTAGCAATTCATCATCCACTGCACCATTGATCAACGCGGCAATTCCACCGGCTGTCTTTCAACCAATTTCAAACAACAACAACAACAGCAGCAACAGCAACATCAAAATAATTCCAACCGATTAAACAATGTGAAAAGGTGACCATAATGACCATCAATTTATTCATTCAAGGCAACAAAATTATCACAATCATCATCAACATAAGCAATTTAAATATGAAGAATAAATATAAAAACGATCCAAACCGGATGAGATTATTTTAAATTCAAATTATTAATTCTTCAGCCCCCTCAAAAAAAATCAACATCAAACATCAAACATAATTTATAATAACTATAACTATTGTAAATTTGAATCCAATTCTTCTTTGTTTTTCAATGCGAAAAAAAATTTTAAACTTCCACCACCACCACCACCACCACCACCATCCATCGCACACACACACACACACACAAGAACACTTTTTTTTCCTAACCATTAATTTTCTTAAAAATTTCGGCTTTTTTCACACACACACACACACACACACAAATTCATCAATATATAGTTGATTATCATAGAAAATCTTTTTCATTTTTAAATTTATTTTTTATTTTTTATTTGTGATTAAAATTTATCTTCATCTTGTCATTTGAATTTTTCGTTACACATCGTGTGTTAATATGTATGATGATGATGTTGATGATAATTAGCGCTTTAGGCTTGTTTGGCTTGTTTGTTTGTTATATGGATGGACCACCCGAGAAACATATTAATAAAATGTGTATATGTGTGTGTATGAAAACCAATACCGATGCGAAATGATGATCATGATGATCATCATTTATATTAAACCGCCAACGTTGTTTGGCGGGTTGTTCCTTTTTTTCTTTCATTTTTTACAGAATCTTCATCATTTTTTCTTCTTCTTTTTCTACTTTGAACATATCGGTTTCTTTAGTGATGATGGTCAATGTTGTTTGTGAATTATGTAATAGATCGAATAATAATTGTCATTATTGGTAAGAAAGAAAAAAATATACGAATAGGCCGCCAATAAAGTAGAGAAACGTTTCGAAAATTGGCTTTTTTTTGAAAATTTATGTTTGGTCATTTGTTTAGTCACTCTCTCTCTCTCTAACTTTTTGTTCGTTAGTCGTAAGTAAATGGTAAATATCTCTTCTTCATTGTGTCATCGTTGTCGTTTTTCCTTTTTTTTTTTGTTTGTTTGTTTGTCTGATATTCGGCTATTTGTGAATTATATTATTATTACCATACATTATTATTATAGATTGAAATCCATAATCTATCCATATTGTATCATCTCTCATCTCTTTCTCAAAAAGAAAAAAATGAAATGAAAAAAAAAGAAAAAAAAATTCTGGTGGATCTCTTTTTTCTCTCTCTCTCTCTCTCTGCACTAAACATCTTTATCATCATCATCATCATTGAATAATGAAAAATTAAAATTACACGCACACACACACACATACAAATGGAATGAGTGAAACATAACAACAACAACAACGGCGATGATTATGATTTTCATTTTTTTTTTCTATCATTTCATAATGACCACAATAGTGTTTTGTCGAGTGATAATAATAATAATGATAGAGTTGTAATGAAAGACTTTGATTTTTTTTTTTTTTTTTTTTTGGTCACCGATTCATTTCGGTTACATAATTCTGTTTTCTGTATGTGTGTGTAGTGGCCATGAATGAAATGAAATGAAATGAATGAAAATGGAGAATAAAATAGACAATGCACACACGCACAAACATTTCCATTAATAATAATGCCAATACAGTAATAATAATATACAAGGATTGATTAAGATAAACGGCCATTCGACAATAGACAATCAATGCGGTAAATGGCCATAAAAGTTTGCCATTTATTATTACATTTATAAGAAAATTTTTTTGTGGATAATTTCGATTGATGACCATTTTTATTATTATTATTATCAACACCATTATCATCATCATCATCATCATCTATATCGTTTATTTATTTTACGAATGAAAATCATATCATCATCATCATCATCTATATATACTTTGAATGTATTGAACGGATTGTGGAATAGTCGACAATTCGTTTGGTGTCATGTACCAGATTCTAGAATTCAACATCACACACACACACTACACACAGGAACACTAATGATGACATATGACGAATATAATATGATTTTCAATGTAATTTTAACAAAAAAAAAGAAAAAGAAAAAACATTTGAAAATCCAACATTATATATGGTCAACAATATTTTATTTCGAACGTGTGAGTGTGTGTGTGTGTGTGTCGTATCCTGTCGCCGTTTGTGTCTACATCATAATCATCGTCATCATCATCATCATCATCATCGATTTTCGGAATGGACAATACGTGAACATCGTCAATCTTTTTCTAATAAATCGATTATTATTTTGTTGTACTGATGGTGGTGGTGGTATGTTTGTCAATATTGTTATATCGCGATAAAGCTTGATCCTAAATCGGATAAAAGACAAGAGAAAGAGAGAAAAGAGAAAAACGTCAGATAGTTTGCATTAATCGTTTTTTATTATCATTTTAGAGAAAAAAAAATTTCGTATAAAATACGTGTCACGCAAAGATGAAATATATCTCTTTTTTGATTCTCACACTTTTTGATTCTTTCATTTTTTTCATGTTGTTGTTGTTGTTGTTGTTGAATTCTCGTTTATTGGCTGTGGAGAGAAAACAGAAAAAAAAGATATTAGGTATCTAAACAGAAAAAAAATGGAATAGAATGGAATTAGAATATGTTTCAACGTTACTGAAATATAAATGATGATGATGATGATGATGATGATATCCGACGACCAACGACCAACAACCAAATGACAATGACATTCATATGGATTTTTTTTTACGGAAATCAAATTGAAACAAATTGGTTAAAGAGCCTTTTTTTTATTTCGTTGCCTGTTTCCAAAACTATATGTATATTATTCTTCATAAGAAAATAACGTCGATGTTGTGATGATTATTATTATTATCATATGGATTTTTACGGAAATCAAATTGAAACAAATTGGTTAAAGAGCCTGGTTTTTTTTATTTCGGAATATTGTTGCCTGTTTCCCAATTATGATTGCTGTTGTCGTTGTTGTTGTTGTATAAATTTTTATTTATGAAATTGTCGTTTTGGTTTTTCTTCTTGGTTAAAGTTTTTTTTTTACCCCCATTCTACTGCAATGCAACCGTCGGACATTACATATCCATCGAAAATATCGGACACAAACATTCAGCCAATTCATTTCAGCCATTCTTTTTCATGATGAAACATGACACGACAGCCAATATATTCCAAATCGATGGATTCAGTTTTCATTGTATGTGAATCATCATATAATAAATTTTGATATTAATAAAAATTTATATTTATTGTACATACAATTTATAAATGTCTAGAAAAGTTTTTTTTCTCTTTGATGTCCGAATCATAGTTTGTCCGATATGAGAAAAAAAATCAAATGATAATGATCCATCCCATGAATCGATAATTGTGAAAATAAAATAATGATGATCATGATGATATTGTGGAAATAGCCACCAAAAAAAAATTTATGACCATTTCGACATAAATAGTCGAGTTGTGTTCAAAAGAGAGGGAAAAAATAGCCAAATCGAATATTTACAATTTTTTTCGTTTTTCATTTCGTTTTTGTTTGTTTGTTTGTTTGTCATTTGAACATTGAAATTATTCACGATATATTTGATGATGATCATATATACTACTGGTACCCTTGTGACCTTTTTTTTGGTGTATTTATAAATCATGATAAATCAAATGTGCCATTTACCAATTTTTTTTTATTTTTATATCGAAAATTTATGATACCACCACCACCATCATCATCATCATCATCATCGTGATCATGATCACATCAACATAACAACAATGGCAATTCGATTTTTATTTTCATTTTCTTTTTTTTCCTGATGTTCGACAGTTGACCAATTATTCTTGTTGTCGTGGTGATCACAATCACCATCACCACCACCACCACTATAGTAGTACAATCATCATTTTATTAAAAGAAGCCACCACTAACAACAACAACGACAACAACAACAAAAACAACATCCATACATTCAGAACTCATTCATTCAAAGAGGTATGTTTTCCAATAATAATGATATCATCATCATCGACAACAATGAAAATGACAAAAAAAAATCCGTACAAGAATCATTGTAATAAATTATCTCAATTTTTTTTTTCCAACACTGTCTCTGTGTCTCTGTTTGTGTTTATTCGCTTTTCACAAGATGGACACATTTTTCATATTTTATCAAATGATGATGTTGTGCAATATAGCAATAATAATAATAGGTTCACGTATTTTTTTATATTTATGGGCCATCTCTGAAACCATTGAAATAATAATAACGAACAACAACAACGACATTTACACACGATTGGAAGGCCAAAAAAAAAATTATGATTATGAATATAATATATAGATGTAGATGCATGTATTGAGATATATCGCAATGATGATGATGATGATGATGATGACCATTCGATTTATATCGGTGGCTCAATATCAATATCAATATATCCATATCATTTCAAAAAAAAAAAAAATATCAAAAACGAAATGTCTTTTATGTGTGTTGATTTATGTGTCCAGATTAGTGGACATTGTGTGTGTGCGTTTGTGTGTATGAGAGAATAATAATAATGAAATCGAAATTGCCACATTGGATTCTATCGGATTCAATTCTCAATGTATAATTTCGATTGTGTGTGGGTCTAGTGGGATCCATATTTTGGGTTTTAGTTTCGTTTCATTTCATATTTTTTTTCGATATATAATATATCTGTATATTGTCGATTTTTTTAACGCGCGTAATAATTTCAACCACCATTTCAAATGTTGGATTTGCCTTTGGTTCATTTATTTATTTATCTGTTTTTTTTCCAGCCACAATATATCTTGAATTGAAATGATTTTGTTTTCTGGTTTCACCATGGATTGAAAATCACCATGGTCCATAGGCGGATTTTTTTTCGTTTGTTTGTTCATTTCAAGTTTGAACATTATTGCAAAAGTCAATTTGAACTTTTTTTTTGTTTGTTTGTTTGAAAACAACAAAAAAAAGTGGCCATCAAATTAATTTCCACTGGAAAGCAAAAATTATTCAAAAATTGATGATGATGAGCAGATCTGGCCCAAAAAAAACATCATTTGACAGTTTCAAGTGGGATTTTTAAATCCCGAAAATATGTGCAGTTTTTTTCTACTCATTTTTAATATCAATTTTTTTTTATGTGTGCGTATGGATTTTAAAAAATTCTTTTGAAGAATACTTGATTTTGTGTGTTTGTGTGTGTGTGTGTATGTGATTCGTATATATGATAATTTACTGTCCAGTGGACGATGAAATGGACCAAAAAACAATAATATTAATGACAAAAAAAAATAGAATATAGATTGCCACCAACCATTAAAAACCACCAAGTGTCAATATTTTGAATGTCAAATGATTATCGATGGATTTTTGTTTTTTTTTTTGTCATTGAAATTGAACAAAATCCATATGGTCCACCACCATAATAATAATTAGCATTTCTTGGTCATCATCATCATCTATTCGATTGGCATTTGAATTTCGAATAAAGTAATTTAGTGTGTGACCTCCCATGACGTTTTTCAATAATAAATTTTCCATTTTAAAATGATTTTCAAAATAGAATTTCATTTTTTTCAATCTCTTTCTCTTTTTTGATCAGAATCTATGGTTTTATGAACTTTATGATTTCATGAGTTATAAAGTGAGATGGTGGAAAAGAAATATAGAATATAGAATCACATCATTTATGTGATTCATTTTTTTTTTTTTTGTTTGTTTGTGTGTGTGTGTGTTTGAGTGGACAATGGATGAATATAATGAATGAATGAAAAATGGCATTCATCCATTATTTCAAATAACGTTTTATTTCATTTTTTCGTTTTCAGATTCATTTATTGAACAAGAATCTGGAATTGAAATGCGAAAGAGAGAGAGAGAGACAGAGAAAAGTATCGTGATTTTTAAAAAAATTTCAAGATTATTTTAATTTTTCTTTGTCGTCGACAAAGATGAAAAACAAAAAAAAAAAAAAGGCTCAAGAAAGGTTCGTTCATCCATGACCATTTGGATCATTTTGGTAATAGCCATCGTTTTTGAATTTTAAATCAAAAAATTTTTTTGTTTTGTTTTGTTTTGTTGCTGGAAAATTTTTTTTTTTAAAGCTATGAAAAAAAAATTAATTTACTTTTTGTCTATGGGGGTAGTGGTGGACAATCGACATTTGGCATAGCGTGACGTATTATGTGTGTGTGTGGGTAATGATTTTTGTTTTGGCTCTCACAAAATGTCCAATGATTCATATCGATATTTGTTTTCATTTTCATTTTTTTTTTTTTTTTTGGTCCGTTAGTCATTCGTTTTGTTAATCTTTTTTTCTCAATAAGTCTTTATTCGACATTTTCTTTTGTTTTTTTACTTTGTGTGTGTGTGTGTGGTTTGATCTCATGATAAATTTTTCATAAAATTTTTTTTATCCACGAAAATCATTCCGTATGAATGAATGAACAAAATAAAAAATTTTGAATAATTTTTTTGTTCACCAATATTGCCGATAGATGGCGGATAAGCGTGGTTTTTTTCTTATTCAAATGTTTTATTATTCACATCATCAACAATGAAAATATAGCTGACCATTCATTTTTAGATGAACTGATGGGTGGGTGGGTTGTAGATGATTATCATCATTCAATTTTCAAATGAAAAATAAAACTTTTGTACCGCATTTCAAAAAAAAAGTCTGAAAGACATGAAGATTTTGTTGTTGTTGTTGTTGATGATTGAATGTTGTGTCATAACAACAAATCGAAAATTTGACAATTTTTTTTTTTTACTTTACAACAAGAAATTTTGTCTTTTTTTCCCTAGCTCATGTCAATGGTTGTCTATCATATGCAATTTTTTTTCCAGAATTCAAGTTTTTTTTGTCTATGAAGAAAAAATTTTTTTTTCATTTCAACTTTTCTAAAACTTTGAATGACAACGATTCATACATATGACATTTTGTCTGATGTTGATGAGGATGATGATGATGATGATGGGTGGCCCATTTCCATATTGCCCCATCGTTTGTTTGTTTTTTTTCTGTTGTTGTTGTTGGAATGAATTGGATAATTGAGATGTCATCTCTGTGTGTGTGTGTGTGTTGTGTGTTGGCTTGATTGGATTGATGATTCTATACGAACAAACGAACGAACCATCCATCCATCCATCCATCTATTCATTCGTTCGTTCATCCATTCATTTTTTGGCATACACACACACACACACACACACACTTGAATGATTAAATATCAAATTTTCATCATCATCATCATAATCATCATGATGAATTTATGATTCTGAAAAAATGTGAATATTTGAATGAATGAAGTGAACGTGGTGATGGTGATGGCGCTTCTTTTTCATTCTATACTAATCCGGCTTTTGTAGACATAGAGAGAGAGAGAAAAATATTCTTCATTTCATTTATTCGTTTTTGTTTTGACACAATGATGATGATGACGAGTGTGTGTGTGTGTGTATGCATGTGACATAAAATACATGCATAAAAAAAATGCTGCCGGATTTTTCCCTTTTCTAATTTGAAATAGTTCAACCAACCAGCCAGCCAACAGATACTTTTTGGTACTAACTAGCTATAGTAGTGGAATGGTGTTATAAGTTTATGGAACAGTACAGAAAACAAAATGAAAAAAAAATTTTTTTCTTTCTTTCTTCATTTTTTTTTCATCTTGTTGGAACATATACATACATACAACTGTCAAACCTGTCTGTCACCGATTTGTCTATTTTGCCATTTCATTTTTGTTGTGTGTTGGTTGGTTGGTTGGTTGGTTCTTCATCCATAAAACGTTCTGTGTATGTATGTGACATCTACATTATTCTCATAAAAGGCCTCTATCTCTATTTGGATCG